TTATTCTAGGATGGAGTGGCAGGACTAGAAAGCTTAGAAAGCTTGTGTACTTAAACCCTCTCATTCTGTAGATAGATAATCTGAGATACGGGAAAGTAAAGTGCCTGTTCGAAGTCACACAGCATCTTAGGAGCACAGTTTTTCTACCCCTCTCCCAACTACTGCCTAGATAACATGCCTGAAATCACCAGCTTTGGTGTGGGGGGCGGGTGGCAATGTCCAGGTTTGGCTTGAGGTCTAGCTTTCTGTAGACTTATATTGAGCATTTGAGGCCAGCTACCCCAGCTCCAAATGTGTCCCGCTGGTGGGGTTCCCAAATGCTCCAAACTCTAATTCTCACACCTTCCAGTTTGAGCCAAGATCACAATTTGGCATCCAGTTTGCTTGTAAGGAGGCAGAGGAGTGACTTGAAAGATGTCTGGTCAATGGCATCCAGAGCAGGCTTTGAGTCAACCTAATCTAGCTTTGCTGGATGGTAGGCAAAAGCCTCCAGCCAAAATCAAGCGATTGGCAGATTTGCTTAAAAGATACCTCAATCTCAAAGTCAGCAATTTCTTGGTTATCTCAGTGAAACACTGAGCCAAGAAATTAATGAAACGCCCCTAAGAGGGCAATGAAAAAGACAGCCTACTCTGCCAGTGGCCCCACCCATCCATGGGACTCTTGGCTCATCTGAAGGCAAAGTAGATCACTCTTTTCCATACTGGAAAAATTCTGTCTCCCTCATAGTATCCATCAATTTGAACTATCTTGTGTCCAGGTAGCAAATCCTGCTGACCATTGTCCCTTTTCCTGGCAGTAAGAGCCCTAACCCAGCCACCCTCTTGGGAGTTTACAAGAACTTTGCTTATAAATTGTCTAATAAAAAGTGCCTCTCATCATATTTTATAGCTCATTGCCAGACTGGTAGTCAGGGTAGAAAGTGCAGAGTTTGCTCTGAAGTACTCTCTAAAAAGATTTATGCTTGGAGCAATCATTGGGCCTAGTGATTAAAACACTGTTTGCAGTGCCTATATTCCATATCAGAGTGCCTGGGTTCTAGTCCCAGCCATCCTCTCAATTCCAGCTTCCTGCTAATGTGCACCCTGGGAGGCAGCAGGTGATGGTCTAAGTACTTGGGTCTATGCCACCCAAATAGAAGATCCATATTAAGATCCTAGCTTCTGGCTTCATCCCAGCTCAGTCCTAGGTGTTGGGGCCATCTGGAGAACAAATCACAGACAGGAGTTCTCTTTTAGTCTCTATTTCTCTGCATATCACTCCTTGTCTTTCTAATTCTCTGTCTCTAAAATAAGTAAAAGGCATTTACATTTTCTGTAAACCCTTAAACTTGGAGCCAATAATAGCAATTCTGGCTTGTTCCGTCTTATCAGACACCTCAAAGATTCCACTGGTTTGTTGGGCCTGTAATCAATGCCACCTTACTTCTTCTATCCTCTGTTCTCTAAAACGTTCCCCTATTATCCCAGAAAACTATGCCAAGTCCATACATTTCACAGCATTGCCTGGTTACCTGCTGTCCTATCTGCTGCTTGTTCTTTACTGGAGAATTCCACAATTTCCCACAATCTCTGCCACCACAATATAGGCTGATTTAATTCTTGATCTTTTCCCTTAATCCAGACCTTGGTCACTTGCCTTATTCTCAAGAACCTTTTGTTTGCTAGTCCCTCTGGGGTTTCCTTCAAAATAGATGAAGAGAGTGGACAAGGTATACTGCCAGATACACCACAGAGCTATATCCATCAGAGTCCACAATGTCTGGGCCTTGCTTGTTTTTTTTTTTTTTTAATTGGAAAAGAAGATACACAGAGAGGAGGAGAGACAGAGGAAGATCTTGCGTCCAATGATTCACTTCCCAAGCGGCCACAACGGCTGGAGCTGAGCCAATCCAAAGTCAGGAGCCTGGAGCTTCTTCCAGGTCTCCCACACGGGTGCAGGGTCCCAAGGCTTTGGGCCGTCCTCAACTGCTTTCCCAGGCCACAAGCAGGGAACTGGATGGGAAGCAGGGCCACCGGGATTAGAACCGGCACCCGTATGGGATTCCGGCGTGTTCCAGTCGAGGACTTTAACTACTACACTATCTCGTCAGGCCCCCTTGCTTGCTTAAGTATGGTCTGATTTCCATTTCCCTTCTCCCTTCTGAGGCCTTCCACTGCTCACAGGTCCCTAACATGGAGTTATTCCCCTTAGACTCATTAAGTACCTTGACTCATTAAGTCAAGAAGCACAGTTCAATTGTTGCAATGCTATTCGGCCAAGACAAAAAGGAACTGGAATTGAAGGGTACTTTCAAACACTAAGTTCGTAGATTTTTGGAGATAGAAGTCACATCGTGCATTAATAGAAATGATCAAGGCACCGATCTGCTGGAGGGGTCCCCAAAATGGCCATTGGACAAACACAGACTGATAAAGACAATAGTAAATGTCTATTGGCTGCTTCTATCCTTTTGAGGCATCCGGACTATGACACAGAATGCTGGGAATTATTTTGGTCAACTGTGGAGAATGTTCTCAGGCTGAGATGTTCAGAATCTCAGGATCCGAAAAGTTGCTTAGGAAAGTTGAAGGGTTTGAGAAAGGTAGTGCTGGGGGATGAGATTTTTCTAGAAGCTTTTGAATGTGGAAGGGTGTTCCTGATTTTTCCAAAATAAAAACTGAGGTGTTCCGGAGAGTATCCAGTGGCAAAAATAACTTCAGTGAATTCAAGATACACCACAGCAAGGACCCAAGCCAAAGTATTCTGAGACCCTGGGGACTTAGAAAATTCCTTTCTGTTGCTTCCTGACCTACAACGCAACATCATTTAAACCAGTAACCTCAGCCCCTAAGTGGACTTATCCTGGATCAGAGTACATGCAACAACTATACCTCTGCAGAGACCACTCCACTACTGCCACACATGCACACACACACCCTACACACATGCATACACACAGCCACACACACACACACATACACACACACTCTGCTGCACTCTGAATTCTTGACCGGAAAGTCTCAGGCAGCCCTCCCCCTGAGTCCCCTATGATCACCTACTTTGAAGTCTGTTCCCCAGCAGTGAACCTCTTCCTGGTAAAATGGTAGTTTTTCCAAGTTTTTTTTTTTTTACACACTCCTGAGGCCCCAGTTTTAAGCCTGCTCAGAAGGCATAAAGGCCAGGGCCTAGCTTATCTCAGCCAGCACGGCTGTGCCATCCAGTTTCACCCACACTTTGCCACTGATTCCGAAGGCCAGCACCCTGCCTTCAGCTACAGAGCACTGCCCAGCAGGTGCCCCCTTGAGGTAACCTAGGCAACAGCCTGAGGCCCTGCCCTGGCTGCCTTCCCAAGAATCCCTGGACTTTATCAAGGTGGGGGGGGGGGCGGAGAGAAGGGGAGGGGTGAAACAGTGGTCTCAGGAGTGAGTGTGGCAGCGACTTTCCCTCAAAAAGTTGCTGCACACAGTCCAGGAACGCCCTCCATTCCAGCCCTGGGAGGCCTACATAGTCTTGAGACTGCCCTTGACAGCCGCTGACACACTCTCAAATTTTCTACAACTGGGGCCTGCACACTGCAGCTGTGCCAATGGGTCATAAGGTTGAAGGTACCAAGAGTCAGAAAGTTCTTTCTGCCTGGGACAGTCCACTGAAGCGGCTAGCTGAACATTGTGGGGGTGCTAGCTTGAGAGCGGTGGGACAGGGTCTCCAAGGACCCGGGGAATCCACAGGTGGATGCCCCAGAGTTCAAGATTTTGTTTACTTTATAATTCCCATTGGATGGCAGCAGAAGCACCTGCTGGTGCCCCAGGACAACACTCGGGAAAGCCTTAGAGCCGGTAGTTGGCGAACGCGGGGCAAAGGGTTTGAGTCCAGTTGTCCTGAGGAGCCACGAAACGGAACAAGCCTTGCGGGAACAAGCCTTCTGAGGAAGGACATCCCGGCTTGTCTCCCGAAACGTTCCAACAGACCAGCTGAGGGCTTCGCTGGTGGCTTGCTGGGAAAGCGGGATGGCTCCTTTGAGTTCTAAAAGTTCAACAGGCGGTCCTCAAGGCCAAGAGCACACACGCACGCCTAGAAGCATTTGAGCCACCGGCCTGGAGGCTATGCCCTCTGCCACCACACTCCTGGTCTTAGGGAAAAGAGAGCAAGTCGGCCTGGGCCGGCATTCCGGCTTCAGGCCGAAAAGAGGCCCCCCCAGGACAGCGGGAGAAGCTCGGGCTTGGCTGAGGTTGGGGGCAGTACAGAGCGAGCCGCAGGGCCTCCTCACGCCTCCCAGACCGCTTTGGGGCTCAGCTCTGAACGGCACGGAGATCTGCTGGCTCCCCCAAGGCGGTGGAGGACGGCAGGGGCCCTGGCTGGGCCATAACAGACGCGCCTGCACATCCCCATTCGCACTCCCTTCCTCCCACTCTCCTCTTTCCTCCTGCAGATACACACGGCTGCCTTGTGTTCACTCTGAGCCAACAATCAGTCACCAACTCTCCTAAAATGTTTCTGATAAGAAAACACCTCAGCAAAGGAACGGCGGGGGGGGGGGGATGCTGCTGCTGCGGGGATCGGAGGAACCACACTTCTGTCCACAGCCTGCCCCACCTCCCAACATCCCCCCCACTCCCAACCCCCCCCCCCTTCGTGATTTCGCCACCTCGCCATCCCATTCAAAATTCCAGCAAATTGGTTTTTTTCCCTCCAGCACAAACGAGCAAAGTACTTAAGAGAAATCGTGGAGGTGTATCTGGATTTGTCCCAGAGCCAAAAAGTTCACCACTGCCTGTGATCATTTCCCACCTCTGGGGCGCCTTGCGCCCATCTCCGCAGCCCAGGCTGCTCAGAACCCTACAGCTTGCGCCCTAGCAGAGCCATGGATGAGCCAGGGGCGAGGGGAAAGAATAGGAACTGCACGTTGGAGGGTAGCGGGGAGGGGGGAGGGGATGTCTGGGACCCGGAGGTATGGGGTCAGTGGCAGCCGGATCAGACACCTTTGCTGAGTGCCAGGTGAGACGCGTGGGGCCACTCACCTGCTTGGAACTCTACTTGGCGATTTTTCTCTTTTTCCTCCTCTAGCAGCATGGAGTAGAGGATCCCGACGGAGTTATGGATGCCGAAGATGGAACCGTTGCACCAGGTGGCAGCGAATACCACCATCCAGCCGAAGCCACCTTCGGGAGGCTGGAAGCCACGCGCAGTGCCTCGAGTCTCCACTGTGGGCGTGGGCTCAGGTTCGTGCACCATGGGCTCGGGCTCAAACTCCAGCTCCCGCAAGGGAGCGGGGTCCGGCAGGGGCTGGGGCTCTGGTTGGGGCTCGGGCTCGGGCTGGGGTTCGGGCGGGGGCACTGGCACTGGTTCGGGCTCAGGCTCCGGCTCCGGCTCCGGGTTACCCACCGGCTCCCGCTGTTCCTGGTCTGCCTCTTGCCAGGGCCCCTTAGCTTCCTCGCTCGCCGGGCTTTGCAGCGCCATCGCGGCCGGGGGACTGTGGCTGCTCCGGCTGGAGGAGCCGCTGTGTGGCTGGTACTTGTTTCTGCTGCTGCTGCTGCTGCTGCTGCTGCTGCTAGGAGCGCTGCCGCCGCCGCCTCCTCCTCCCGGCTCCTCGCCCCAGCTGGCCAGCCTGTCCCGCGACAGACGGTCCCTCGAGCCCTTTCCTTCTCCTCCCCCATCCACCCCCCTCCTCCTCTCCCCATGTCATCTCTCTCTCCTCCCCCTCCTCGTCCTCCCTCCCACCTCTTCCTCCCTCAACAGGCAGCCGCTACAGCCTCGTTCTTCTCCCCAGCCCTTCTTCCTCTTACTCGCTTACCTACTACTCTAGCAGCTGCTGTGCCCCCCAAACTTCCCTTCCAAACTACTGAATCCTGCCTTCTTTGTCCAGATGCCCAGGAAAGGCAGAGGTAAAAATAGGCAAAAGGGAGCACAAACTGTCGCGTCCGCTGCCCTCTCCTCCCCACGGTCTCCAGAAACCAGCATTGATTAACCCCGAGTCTCTAGGGAGGACCCGCCTATTCTCCGCTCCCATTCCCTCCTTCCCCACAAGCAGCCTGCAAGTGGAGTGGCCCTGGAGACCCCAAACCAAAAGGCGGCCCCACGAGGGACCCCACTCTGCCCTCGGGAGTCCCCCTTGGGCTTGACGGGATCACCTGGAGTGGACAGCCTGTGGTTCTGAGGGTGGGCACAATCTTCTCGAATCCCAAAACGTGGTCCCCCCACCGTCCTGAGCACCGCCCCCCTGCCCCGTCTCCCCTTATCCCCCTCGCCACCCGCCCTTCCCGGCAAATCCCTGGCGGGGCCGGGAGGGAAGGAGGCGCCCCGCAGCAGGCCCGCCTCTCCGGGCAGTCAATCAGGGCTTTGTTTGCGCCAACCTGGAGCCCGAAGGAGCCGCTGAGGGCTGGGTCTGGGCCGGGCCTGGGCCGAGTCTGGGCCCGGGGCCGGGCCAGGAAGGGAAGGAGGTGCAGTGGCACCAGAGGGGGCCGGGCCCTGGCCGGGCGGGAGCTCGAGCTGCGTTCGGGCTCCTCCCCTTTCTCTGTTCTCCACTGAGGAGCAAGGAGTCCAGGCCGGGTCGAGCCACCAGTTTGGGCCAGGACGGCTCCGCCCCTGACATCTAGCTGGACTGGTCCTTTGGACCTCCTTCGCGGCTTTTCGGGTGCCCAGGGCTCCGGGGAGCCTTGAGCTGCTGGCCCTCAGCCAGCACCCATTGCCTCACCCCTCCCACCTCGGGTACGCGGAACGTGGGAGTCCCGCTGAATGGGCCAGATTCAGGCCCAGTCCTGAAAAGTCCTCAGAGCTTACTCCCCTGGGAGCGTGCGGGTCCAGAGAGGAAAAGGGGGGGTCTGTCAGATAGGCAGGGGGGAACAGACAAGCAGGCGGGTTTCCAGCCAGGGTGTGCCTCAGTTCTCTGGCAAGCCGGGTGATTTCAGGAAGCGGGGTCTCACCTTAAGGGTCCCAGCCTTTCATACCCTAACCCTGAGGCCACAGGGTTGTTATCAGGCCACTCCCGGTGCCCCACGCGGGAGGGAGAGCTCCAATCCTTTCCGTCCAACATCGCATTACCAATAGGTGACAGACTGCACAGTTGATGGAAATGCAGCCCTGGACTGCCTGGCTGTGTGAAAATGCTGATGAACAGAGTCATTGAGCTCTTGAAGGTGTGCAAGTGGCTGGGGAAGATAGAAGCGTGCAGGGGGGCTTGTAATGCCCTGAGAGGAATCAGGTTTGCAAATCACAGGGTGTGCCAATCAGCAGAGTAGGCATTTCGCGACAGAATTAAACATGTCCTTTATTGCCCTAAGGCAACCTTTTTGCAGGTCGGGAGCAAGCCCAGGCGCACGCTGGTCATCACACAGCAAACCTCCAGCTCCCAGAGCTTCACCACAAGAACCTAGGACTTGGTGCTTTCAGGCATAGAAGGCAAGATCTGGCAGTAGGCTTCTGGGGGAGGTGGTGTGTCCTACATGGGCCTTGAATGCTGAATAATATTTTCAGACTGTGTGAAGGGACATGGTCTCATGCGTCCAGAGCTCCAGACACAGAGATGAAGAAGGACTTCACTCACAGTAACAAGGACACGAAAATGGGAAGTGAAAGGTAATCAGGCCGAAGAATTAATGTCTATGTCAATTCTCCCAGGAAAGATTTGCATGTTAATAAAAATCCACAATATCTCTGTCAACTAGGAATGGCAAAACATGGGTATTACCAACACTGGGGGTTTAAGGTTTGCATTTTAGTTAGGAATCTTCCCATCCACGTGACTGACTGTTGCTCCAGGGGACACCAGCCTTGGTGTTCACTTACAAGGAACCTGACTGAGATCCCTAAAAGGATTGCTTCCAACCCTACAACCAGGGATATACCCTGGAGGTCTGCACCCTATTTGGATCCTGATGGTCCGCATTCACACTTGTCAAGTTGTTTACATGCACTAAATAACGCAACCCCTGAAATGGAGCGGTGAGAGTGGGTGATGACCTTCACTGAGAACCTCCTGTAAAACTTAGCACTGGGCTAGGCCCTTTTCATACACGATCCCATACAATACACACAACATTAGAAGGCTGGGGCGACTTGTCCCCTTTCTAAAAATGAGGAAACAGAGGCTCCAAGAGGTGAAGTCACTTGTTTAAGTCTACAGTGCCAGTTAGAGGCTGAACAAGGATCTTTGCTTATTTGTGTGAGTTTCAAAGAATGTGCCCCACCCAGCAGATAGAATTATGTAACTGCCACCCCATCATTCTAGCAACACATGCAGTGCCTACAATTTCGCCTTTGTTTAGAAGGTGCAGGGGCTCTGTAATGGCTAGAGTACTGGCATCAGGAGCCCTGGGTTCTAATTACGATTCTACTCTTGCCCGTTTGTGTGATCCTAAGCAATTTGCTTACCCTTTCTGAGCTTAGATTTGTCGTCTGCAAGATAAGGTTAATACCTACTTCTAAGAGTTATTAAGTGTCCTGCTGAGGTATAGGCTTTATTTTGGATATACCAGATTACCAGAGAAGATTTTTTTAGTAGGAGAGTAACATCAGAGTTGTGTCTTAAGGAAAAGACAATGGTGACAGTGTAGAAAGCAGAAAGATCAGAGGTAAGGAAACCAGACATCAGCTACATGCTTTCTCTCCAAACCAGACTTGGCAAATAAACATCATCAAACATCATCCTGGCTTATGCTCATGATAAATAAGTGAATTGTGGCCCCTGTAGTCCTATGAACCTGTTTACTCGACTGATTGTAGAACTTAGGGGAAAAAAAAAAAACAAATGAGCAAATGTGTCCTCCCTCTGTCATTAACAGGAATGAGCCCACAATGGAATCATTTCAATTACTTATGGCCTTGGTTATTCGTATCAGAGGGTGAAACAGAGCAGTGATTCCCTAACCTAGCTGTACATCAGAATCATCTGGAGGGCTTTATAAAAGCACTGATTCCTGAGCTCCATTTCATGTTTGCTGAATTTCAATATTTGGAGTTGGTGCCCAGGAATGCTTAAGCATTCTTTAAAACATTTATCTATTTGTGGGCCTGGCACAGTAGCCTAGCAGCTGAACTCCTCACCTTCACATGCTGGGATCCCATATGGGGGCCAGTTCATGTCCCAGCTGCCCTGCTGCCCATCGAGCTCCCTACTTGTGGCCTGGGAAAGCAAAGATGAGCCAAAGCGTTGGGACCCTGCACCCGTGTGGGAGATGCAGAAGCTCCTGGCTTCAGATCGGCGCAGTTCTGGCTGTTGCGGCCACTTGGGGAGTGAACAAGCAGACAGAAGATCTTCCTCTCTCTCCTCCTCTCTGTATAACTGACTTTCCAATGAAAACGAATCTTTAAAAAATGTATCTATTTGAAAAGCAGAGTGACACAGAGAGAAGGAGAGGCAGAGAGAAAGAGAGATCTCCCACGGGCTGGTTCACTCATGTGTAAATTTACATGTATAAATGATCACAACAGCTAAAGCTGGGACAGATTGAAGCCAGGAGCCAGAAACTCTGCCCAGATTTCCCACAAGGTTGGCAAGGGCCCAAGAGCTTGGGTCATCTTTCACTGCTTTTCCAGGCACAATAACCATGAGCTGGGTTAGAAGCGGAGAACCTAAGACTTGCCAGTTCTGCAGAAGGAATATAGTACAGAAGGCACATAATCTTTTTTAAAGATTTATTTGTTTTTATTGCAATGTCAGATATACAGAGAAGTGGAGAGACAGAGAGGAAGATCTTCTGTCTGATGATTCACTCCCCAAGCAGCCTCAACGGCCAGTGCTGCGTCAATCCGAAGGCAGGAGCCGGGAACCTTCTCCAGGTCTCCCGCACGGGGCAGTGTCCCAAGGCTTTGGGCTGTCCTGGACTGCTTTCCCAGGCCACAAGCAGGGATCTGGATGGGAAGTGGAGTAGCTAGGATTAGAACTGTTGCCCACATGGGATCCTGGTGCTTGCAAGGTAAGGACTTTAGCCGCTAGGCCACGCTGCCGGCCCCAGAAGGCACATTATCTTAAGCTATCATAGAACAGATATCTGGCAGAGCAGTTAAGATTCTCGTTAGGATGCCCAGTTCCAGTACCTGATCCCAGCTCCCTGCTAACACAGATTCTAAGAGATCGTGTAATGGCTCAAGTATTTGGGTTCCTGCCACTCAGATGGGAGATTGGATTCCAGGTTTTGACCTCTCTATCTTCTCACCATTGCTGGTGTTTGTAGAGTGAAACAACAGATGTAAGAGCTGTAGGCATTTTTTTTTCAAATACATAAAAATACCCAAAATAGTTGATAACTGATCTTATACATCAGCAGATTGATGAAAATGTCAAGCTGTCATGGGTATGCTGTGCTTGGGATTCCATGTGTTGGATGACCTCTGAAAATCCCTTCTGTCCTTGAAGGTCTTTATTATAGGCCAAAAGCAGCCTTTTGCTTTGATTTATCCTGTTCTCCAATAGAATTGTCTGATAAGACTGGAACTCAATGGATCATTAGCATCATCCCTATGCCCTGTGTCTAAAT